ATGTTATCTAGTTGGCTCTTTTCTTCATCCCAGATACCGTGTTGGAGTTTGTCGAGCCGTCTGAGGGGGTGCAATTGGGGGTGAAATAAAAAAATTAAAGAAGCCACAAATGGCTTTGTACACCTTTCTGCATGCGCTATGATATGTAGTTTGCCCCTTTCTTCGTTCCAGATACCATGCTGGAGTTTGTCGAGCCGTCTGAGGGGGTGCAATTGGGGGTGAAATTAAACAACAAATCATAGAAGCCACAACTGGCTTTGTACACCTTTCTGCTTGGGATATGTTTATGTAGTTTGCTCTTTTCTTCATCCCTGATAGCATGCTGGAGTTTGTCGAGCCGTCTGAGGGGTGCAATTGGGGATGAAATTAAACAAAAAATCATAGAAGCCACAACTGGCCTTGTACACCTTTCTGCTTGGGATATGTTTATGTAGTTTGCTCTTTTCTTCATCCCTGATAGCATGCTGGAGTTTGTCGAGCCGTCTGAGGGGGTGCAATTGGGGATGAAATTAAAAAAAAATCACAGAAGCCACAAATGGCTTTGTACACCTTTTTACTTGAGATATGTTATGAAGATAGCTATTTTCTTTATGCCTGATACCATGCTGGAGTTTGTCGAGCCGTCTGAGGGGGTGAAATTAAACAAAAAATCATAGAAGCCACAAATGGCTTTGTACACCTTTCTGCTTGGGTATGTTATGTAGTTTGCTCTTTTCTTCATCCCTGATAGCATGCTGGAGTTTGTCGAGCCGTCTGAGGGGGTGCAATTGGGGATGAAATTAAACAAAAAATCATAGAAGCCACAAATGGCTTTGTACACCTTTTTACTTGAGATATGTTATGTAGTTTGCTCTTTTCTTCATCCCTGATAGCATGCTGGAGTTTGTCGAGCCGTCTGAGGGGGTGCAATTGAGGATGAAATTAAAAAAAAATCACAGAAGCCACGAATGGCTTTGTACATGCTATCAGGGATGAAGAAAAGAGCAAACTACATAACATATCCCAAGCAGAAAGGTGTACAAAGCCATTTGTGGCTTCTATGATTTTTGTTTAATTTGACCCCCAATTGCACCCCCTCAGACGGCTCGACAAACTCCAGCATGGTATTAGGCATAAAGAAAATAGCTATCTTCATAACATATCTCAACTAAAAAGGTGTACAAAGCCATTTGTGGCTTCTGTGTTTTTTTTTTAATTTCATCCCCAATTGCACCCCCTCAGACGGCTCGACAAACTCCAGCATGGTATCAGGCATAAAGAAAATAGCTATCTTCATAACATCTCAAGTAAAAAGGTGTACAAAGCTATTTGGGGTTTCTGTGATTTTTTTTTAAATTTCATCCCCAATTGCACCTCCTCAGACGGCTCGACAAACTCCAGCATGGTATCTGGAATGAAGAAAGGGGCAAACTACATATCATATCGCATGCAGAAAGGTGTACAAAGCCATTTGTGGCTTCTTTAATTTTTTTTATTTCACCCCCAATTGCACCCCCTCAGACGGCTCGACAAACTCCAGCATGGTATCAGGCATAAAGAAAATAGCTATCTTCATAACATATCTCAAGTAAAAAGGTGTACAAAGCCATTTGTGGCTTCTGTGATTTTTTGTTTAATTTCATCCCCAATTGCACCCCCTCAGACGGATCGACAAACTCCAGCATGCTATCAGGGATGAAGAAAAGAGCAAACTACATAACATATCCCAAGCAGAAAGGTGTACAAAGTCATTTGTGGCTTCTATGATTTTTTGTTTAATTTGACCCCCAATTGCACCCCCTCAGACGGCTCGACAAACTCCAGCATGGTATTAGGCATAAAGAAAATAGCTATCTTCATGACATATCTCAACTAAAAAGGTGTACAAAGCCATTTGTGGCTTCTGTGTTTTTTTTTTAATTTCATCCTAAATTGCACCCCCTCAGACGGCTCGACAAACTCCAGCATGCTATCAGGGATGAAGAAAAGGGCAAACTACATAACATATCCCAAGCAGAAATGCGTACAAAGCCATTTGTGGCTTCTATGATTTTTTGTTTAATTTCACCCCCTCAGACGGCTCGACAAACTCCAGCATGGTATCAGGCATAAAGAAAATAGCTATCTTCATAACATATCTCAAGTAAAAAGGTGTACAAAGCCATTTGTGGCTTCTGTGATTTTTTGTTTAATTTCATCCCCAATTGCACCCCCTCAGACGTCTCGACAAACTCCAGCATACTATCAGGGATGAAGAAAAGAGCAAACTACATAACATATCCCAAGCAGAAAGGTGTACAAAGCCATTTGTGGCTTCTATGATTTTTGTTTAATTTGACCCCCAATTGCACCCCCTCAGACGGCTCGACAAACTCCAGCATGGTATTAGGCATAAAGAAAATAGCTATCTTCATAACATATCTCAACTAAAAAGGTGTACAAAGCCATTTGTGGCTTCTGTGGTTTTTTTTTAATTTCATCCCCAATTGCACCCCCTCAGACGGCTCGACAAACTCCAGCATGGTATCAGGCATAAAGAAAATAGCTATCTTCATAACATATCTCAAGTAAAAAGGTGTACAAAGCCATTTGGGGATTCTGTGATTTTTTTTTTAAATCTCATCCCCAATTGCACTCCCTCAGACGACTCGACAAACTCCAGCATGGTACCTGGGATGAAGAAAAGAGCAAACTACATAACATATCGCTTGCAGAAAGGTGTACAAAGCCATTTGTGGCTTCTATGATTTTTTTTAAATTTCACCCCCAATTGCACCCCCTGAGACAAAGCAAAAGTTAATTGCGGGTATGGTTGCTGTGTATTGAAACCTCCCCAATTGAAATCTACAAATGAAAAGCCTCTATAGGTAATTTGAACCAAGTTATATGACTATTACGATACGAGTTATATTTTTCTCAGTGTACATTTGTGGATGTGGATAACTTCACACCCGTTATTTTCAAAGGTGAGTCGAAAAGGTTAATATAACATTCTTTGAGATATCACTGGGGATTCGTTTTGAATAAGGGCTGATAATTGCTTTAAAATATTATCACTGTAAACTAATAAACCACATGATCTTCGGGCATTCACCTTGAAAGGCAATTAAGTTAACATATGTTTTTCGATGTGTGAATTTGGGTTATTTTAATAGAAATATCATATTTTAGAAATATACAGGGATGTATCATCTTGGGTAAATTATGCACACAAATTTAAATGTAAAATTTAAAGGTAAGTTAACCAGCTGGTGAATGGACACTGTTCGTTAGTTCAAGGAAGGCACCTATACTAGCCCATTCTAGTAGTAAGTATATGTGAACATTAACACAGTAAGTAAACCAACTCGCGAATTGGCGCTGTTTGTTAACTCTGTTGGTCATCAATTCTATACTCGTCGAAATAAATACCTAAGAAAATACTATCCTGTGTATATCTAGAATTGAATTAAGCTAAATAAAATATATCAAGTGAGATCTCAGTAAAAAGTACCACTTGTAAATATGAATTTTGTATGGTTTTATTTACAAATTTGCACCAAACTTTGCATATAAACCTGGTTTAATATAATAACATTATCACTACTACTAGAGGAAAAAGGCCAATTGCAGTAAGTATAGAATTGAGAGGTAAATCTAAAATTTAATCCAATTCAATCCAATGTAATCCAATTTTAATAAATAACTAATACTTCATTTTATTTAATGTCAAAATAATAAATAAAATAAAAAACTATTAAGTAGGCATTTCTATTCTAAAAAATATATTAAAAGTAATTTCAAAATGCATACAAAAAAAAAAATGAAAAATATATTGGTTTTGGTAATGTAAGAGATAAAACATTTTTTTACAGATAATCTTAACTCAAAATCGATCAAAATTTGAGTTAATAGACACATTTGCTCAAAATTAATTAATTAAATTTGTTTATTTTTTGATATATAGGTATTTGAAAATGATTGATTGTCTATACCTTTGGGTACCTTATATTGATTTTTAGTATATTTTTCTTTAAAACAAGCACCTACCCTATAAACTGATAAATTATCATAGAAAATATAAATGTTGATAAGTAATTCCATACCTATTTCAAAATTACATCTTTTAAATAAAATGAACTGCATATTCTTCCAAGAAGAACCTGTCAACTGTGTCCAAAAATTAATTTAGACTTATTTTCAAGCAATACCTAGATTGAGTAATAGGTACCTATGTGTCTTAATGTATGCATTACTATTGTCTTTATTTGTTTAATAAATATTAGTTTATTAACAAATAAATATAACTTCCTGATTTTCCTAGTTTTGCAGTAAATGATCTTTTCAAAAACTTATTGACATTGCACCAAGTTTTACTGATGACAGGTTTATGGCACAACTTATATTGATAGAAAAATTGCCTTTTCTACAAGCTTTTCTATCAACAAGCATTACTGATAATGACAGTTTCGTGGCACAACTATTATTGATGGAAAAATTGCCGTTTCTGTAACAAATAGGTGTTTTATTTTAAAACTAAGTATAATAATCAGTGCTTTAAAATTGAATATCATAAATATTCATACTCCAATTTATTTTTTAAGTTTTTAGTGTCAAATATGTATAAGTATTGTCAGGTAAAATAGATTTTTGTTTGTGAAGTGTTTTATATAAACTCATATTCCATTAATTGTATAAATACCAAGATAAATACTTCTATTTTATTTTGCCTAATGATAAGTGCAATATTTAAAAAAATCACGATGACATAAAAATGTTTAATATGTACTATTAAGGAATCTGAAGCCTGTAATGAAGTCACGGTTTTAAAATATGAACAAAAAATGCATAAACGATAATTTCAAAACTAAAAACATTTAATTTGTTTTTTGTTTATAAACAGTTGTATTTTATTTATTTTAAATTGTAGGTACATTAACCACAATCACCCAAGCGTGAACTAATTGGGCATTACTTAAACACTTTTACAAGCATTCTCAGCGAATATATTAATAACATTAATTAAAAGAAAGCCTACTTACTTTTCCCTTGCTTGACAACGTACTGCAAGTCCGAAAATGCCAAATCCACCTGGGGCCTTTGTGGAAGATGAGTTAATTTCTTTGTAGGACTAGGTAAAATCTGCACTTTCACATCTGGAGAACTATTTTTTAAGAGTACTTCCGCGGCCATCTTCAACGATTTTTAATTATTTTAAATTAAACAATTAAATTTGTACAAAGAAGGCAATTATAATGACTAAGTTTAGCGATGTACGCGGTAAACCACAAAATACATTTATCACAAAATAGTTTTTATCTTATCACACACTCGCTAGCTCATGCTGCAAAGGCTAACAATAAAATGATAATTTTTGTAGATACCAATTATTAATCATATGATCTTCGAGTCCGAGGACATCAACAATCGACCTATCATTTAAACAATTCGATGCGATGTCGTACCGTACTTGTACTTGGAACTTCGACTTGATACTAATTTCAAATGAACAGGTTTTTGTTTTGAAAGCTAAAGTCGCATATTTATGACTTGTATTTATTTATTTGGTAAATCAAATCAGAAAAATTGAGTGACACTAGTGACAGTGACAGTTATGTCAAGAACACGTGTATGCTCTAAAGCCAAATACATATAAATCAATATTTCTTTGAATCAATTTTCTGATTCGTAATAAAAACGCTAATTTTTGCTTACAGCCAATCATATTAAAGTCCTGAAGCAACGTCATGTTTATGAATAGGCAGCCTTGTCAAAATTTAATTAGATATTTGATATTAAATATAGGCAACCAGTTTAACATTGATGTGTAATAATGGTTGCAACTGTTAATTCAAAGTGAATGGAAAATCAAATAAAAATATTAATAAGGTCAATCAATAAAATGTGCTAAAATAAGAATTACAAAGAAAACATTATTTTTAAATTATAAATCCGTTGTTTTAATAAGTAAAAGTATTAAAACAAATTCTCGCAGCAGTTTCGTTCATTAAAAAGTAGGTAATAGGGTCAAGAAAATTAAGTGAAATGAAATTAGGTATAGGTATTTACAGAAATACGACTTATACGAGGGTATTCGGACAAACACAAAATGTAGAAAATTGTGACTATCGAAGGTAATTTTAAAAACATGACTCGTTTTGTCTTGATTATTATTCTTACCTAAATAGAAAGCCTACACAGAATACGACCAGAAAGCCAGAAAGCACAATGTCAATGCTACTCTTCTAAGACTAAAGTTATGTCGGACAATACGACTAATAATATTATATAATATATATAATAATATATTGATATGGATAATATGAATTTGATAGTCCAGATTTTAGTTTATATTGATGATTATAGTGTGATATATTTTTTTTATGTTTAACTTGATAATTTTTTACTTAATAATTATTACTCAACCATATCATTAGTTATACGAATTTACCTTTATTAATTTCTGTTATTGCTCCGGCTATTACTCTTATTATCTCATGGGTCTAGGATTCTGGCGCTTTTCCTTGTTAATATGAAATTATTTTTTTATTTAATAAGTTACCTTTCTCGATTAGAGTATTATTTTCCCAATTAATCAATAAAATATTCCTTTTACAAAAATATTAGTTTCGTTTTATTTATAAATCAAATCATTTTAACATTTAGATATAAATAGGAACAAAAAAAAATTATTCATAATTAATTTTGTGGATAGAAAATGGCGGACACGCCATCTATTGGAGGATATTACAGTATGCTGTGCTCTGAAGATGAATCACTTTACTTAATTTAAAATTAAAACTAGCTTTCTGTAATTACCCTTCTTAAAATACTTGTAAAGAGCTCTATTATACATCTAACCTAAATTTAAAAAAATTATTTTAACACAATGTTTATTGTGTTTAAAAACCGAAAGTCAATTAATAAACTGTTCAAAAAAACTTTTAAAAGTAAGTAGCTTGCAGTATCGTTTTTAATCAACTTGTTTAAATTATTTTACTCACTAAAACATCAGTTTTTTCCTAGTTAAAGTTATTTTGATTCCAGGAATTGGAAATATACTCCTTCTCAACATAGATGAAATGGTTGATTCTTACAGAATCGTCTGTCTGCTTCGTGACCGGAGTTCACTACACGATTTGCTCTTTCTAGTTAACGGTAGGTAATTTTTTTACTCACCCAGGATGTACATAATAAAATTTGAAAGAATATTTTATTATTTTTAGGTTGTAACTGCTTAAATTATATCAAGAATTCCAATTTTAATTTAAAAAAAAAATCTCAACCGTTTGTCAAAAACTCAACCCCTTAGTTACCCCTTGGATACCAATCATCCAAAAAAAAAGAAAAAAGTAAAGGTAGGTTCGTACATGTTTTTTTTTATGTTATTGAGATACTTTTTGTGGTCATTGCAATGTGATTTTTTTTTAATTATGTTTACTTTTTAATGATTTTTTTTAAATGAACCTTTATTGTTTAATCGTTATTTAATATTTTTTTTTTATCACTTATGACAGCTAATGTTTCTTTTTACTTACAAAGTTACTGTACTAATTGTCACAGTGTACAGTTCGTCCCAAATTAGAATTTACTTTTGTTATTTCATTTCAATATATAATAATGCTAAATGGATAGATAGGGCAATTCTGTTTAAAAATACAGCTGTATGACAATTAGTTTTAAATGCAGTGGTGTAGCCAGCCATTTTTCATGGGAAGGGTTTTTGAGAACTATGGGGGTTTCCATCAAGAGAGTGAATAAAACAAACGGTCAATAGTGATCAGAACCAATACTATAGCGGAAATGGTGACGCAAGGCTCCTCCATGGGGGTTTCTCACCCCCAGAGCCCCTCCCCCATGGCTACGCCACTGTTTAAATGTATGAAACTTGTATTTCTAATGAAGATGCTTTTATACATTACAAATACAGGGTGACAGAAGATAAATTAAGATACCATTGGAAAGAGAATTAAATAGCCTTTAAAATGATGTGTCACTTGACCCCCTTTCTCATTTAAATAAAAGTTATTTGTAATATCACTCTCTATAATTTTTGCCTTATACAAAATTTTCCCAAAATGGTCCGTATTCCAGATATTTGAGAAAAAGTACAAATTTAGAATTTTGAAGAAAACTCAAAAACGGAATAAAAGAAAAACACCAAATTTTAAATTTAATCTTTAATCCGTCCTGCGGTGAATATCTAGAGGGGTACTTTATAAGGGGTCGTTTTTCTATTTTATGGAATATATCTGTTATTTACGCTTGGAGAAGAAAATTATTCGACAAAAAGTTGTTTATAATTTAGTTTTCAATAATTTTTGTTCCATTCATATTTTTTTAAAAATGGTCCTTATTCGAGAAATTTGACAAAAAGGAAATTTTTAGTTTTAAGTATGCATTCAATTTATGTCTAAATATGCTGTATCTTATCTGTATGTTTCCTTATTGTTATTTTCCAAAATTATATAGTTTTTCACCTTATTCTGAAATTAGGGACTATCCTGTTGGATATTGTACAATTAAATAAATAATTAACAGAAATACCCTGAACTCAGAATGTTTAAAATATTCACAGAGGGTCTTATCTTTGCTTAAATGTCATTATTTCAATAAAAATGTAATACATCAATATATCATCGTATATAACGAAAATCTGAAAACACCGTGCTAACCTGTTTCTGAAAATGATATATATTTAGACTTTGGATGATAACGGCATTCACTTTTGACCGACTCCCAATTTATTTTGTCAATTAGGTACCGGATTGCTCACCCTCCCTTTTGAACCTCAAAATTGTGTTTGATCACCAGCTAGGGCAAATTGTATCACACAAGAATGTAAAACGACATTATTCAGGGTCGGAATGAATACAATTTTAAAAATTAAACGCATGTACGGTTTCGAAGGACGAACAGGAAACAGGACGGGTTTTATTGTGTTTATGTCAAACGAAACAAGGGTGTTTTATAATATAATTTCTTGTAAACAATGAGTACCGTAGTATATTATTATAGTCACTAATGGAAATGTTTGTAGTAAATAAACGATAACGATTATCTTGTTTTAAATATTAATTAAAATTGAATTAATCCATTATTTTCAATAAATATGTACCTACACTAATTTTTGTTTATTTGTAAACTTTCATGACACTAAATCCCATCTACACCAAAGAACTATGCTTATTGTTTAAATTTCATAATAAATTATTAAATTTTAACATAACATTTTCTAAACCGCCCCTGTGTTCAAAAAGTTAAAACAAATCAAAGAAAACTTTAAAAAGCTGTGAAATAAAGAAAGTAAAATATAAGTGCAAGTAGCAGTAATTTGATATTTATTTTAATTTTTAAATAAGAAGCCCAATTTTTATTGAAAATTGTAATTAATTGAACATTTTCAGATGAGAATCTGTCAAAATGGGCGCCATATTGGATAATATGAATTTGAAATGTGTTACTAATAACTAACTCGTTGACGGAAGAATATTATATTACATTTTAAAAACTCTCTGTAAGGTATTCCCATTGAGACTAACTCAAATTACACCAATGCTACACTAAATTATATACAGTACAGGTATAAACACGTTTGTACTTGTGTTAACATTTCTATAAAGAAAGGTAGGAGGCAAGGTTAGGGATTATATAGAGAGCGAAACAGCTACCAGGGGGTCGATTCTCGACTTTTATTCCCATGGGAAAATAAAATTTTCCCATGGGAATTCAGTTTTCGTATTCTCAGCATAAGCGGTGGAATATTTTCCAATGAGAAGTATGGGAAAATATTCCCCTGCTTGCGAGCATTGGAAATTGTGTTTTCCAATGGGAATTGTACTAGAGTTTGCGCATTAAAGTCGAAAATTTGACGAAAGACCACGCGAAAGACTAAGACATAACCAAAGATTATTGGATATCTTGGATTTTTGGTGAAATTGTAGTTAAAACATGTTTTTTGTGTATTTATAAATTGATATTATTTTATTTATGTGGGTATATTATTTTTACCTCTTTCACTAAGAAACTGATTTTCTTAAATTAGTTAGAAATTGTGGGAGCTGCTAAGGGACTGGCAAATAGGTAACACAAATTGAGAAATTTGTAGTAAATTTAATAAGACCTTTTCGAAAATTTTATTATTTCCGTTAACGAAAGAATTTCTTATATATATACATAGTTTCTCGAAACTTTCGTTGCTCTTCTATACAAAAGCTACTTTTTCTTTTTTCAATATGTGAAAAGAAAAACTAAAAATAACTCGATAAGTTTTAATTATATACATAATCGAATATTTTCACTTGTCCTCGGTCAAGCTAGCGATTGCTCGGCACGGCATCTGCTCCAGCGCAGAGGCTCGGCAGGTAATCGGTTACCCAAAAACCACAACAAATACAAATAATACCAACAGTAAATTTTAAAATATCTTTAATGTTATTGGTTATTTCGAAATATTCGTGAACTTAATATCAGACATACGTGAAACTATTATTTCCATGGGAATGTCTATTCCGACAAGTTCGAGAATTGCATAACCTATTACCATGGGAATATAAGTAGTGGAATCTTTTCCCATGGGAAAACTTTCCAATGAACTCGAGAATCGAGCCCCAGGTAACAATAGCGTGCTCGAACCGGGCAGGAGTTTTCCTATGCGCTGAGTCATGTATGAGGCGCGGTTATCCTAACCTCTGTATCTTCGTTAGTTTTGCCCCGATTCATCTCAAATTTTCACACAATATTCTTGAAGGGTTCTCCATTCACAAAATCAAATATGTTTGGTTTTATAATAATTTACGGTTAAATACTATTTTCGTTTTATTTTATTGTTCCAATTTTTCATTTTTCTACTCTAATTATATTATTATTAACCCAATCAATTTTGTTTTTAACAACTAATTTTGAACATACCATTTGTATAAATATTTCCATTTAAAATTTAAAAAAAATAATGCGATTTACTGTTACTTTCAAAAAAAAACTAAGCAAGCCATGATGCCACAGACTAATTGAATCCATCAAAAGAAAGTTTCTGCTTCAATCTTAAAAAAAAAAATATTATAAGACCTCGTTATTCTTATTGCAACTTTTCTTTGCACCCTTAATAGAACATATAATCTTGGTATGTCTTCCTTTTCATTGCTATGCTACATATGTTGGTACCTACTATAGAGTATAATTGAGTACGCTACTGTGAATTGTATTCTTCTATTTTCTTCCTGCCTTCTTATTATACCGGGTGTTCAAATTAAAGTGTTAAAGTTAAATACCGCCTTTTATAAAAGAACGTTTTATATTTTTTTGGGGTAAATATTTTGGCTAGAATATTTTTTTATAGCTAACCATAATATGGCCAACTTTTTTTGGCCCAGCAAAATTTTTAAGTATGTAAAAAAATGAGGTTCCAATCTGAAATAAAAAAGTCCCCTCGATATTATGGTCAGCTATAAAAAAATGAATCTCGCCAAAATGTTTCCCCCAAAAAACTGTAAAATTTTTGTCTGAAACTTGTTTTTATAAAATGCATATTTTCGGCGGTATTTAATTGTAACACTTTAATTTGAACACCCGGTATAGTACATAAAGCATACGTTAGAGTAGGGTAACCTCTAAACTCTACGCCACTGGTTGAATCGCTATTTCAATATAATGTAGGCATTTTTCAAAATAATCGCGTTTGAAAATAGGGTCCCTCGATACGTACCCTGATTTTAATATTTAATTATGTCACAGGTTCATTTCACCATCTGTTTTCATAATTGTATATAGTTTTATTTACGGGGACGTATAAAGGAAGTGTACGCTCAAGAAATCAATACTCGCCAAGGATTATGGCAACAAATAATACAAAACGCGCAAATTTTATTAAAAATCGACCATGTTACGTTAAAGTCATAAAAGTTGTGTTACCCTACTTACCATGTACATTAGAATACATGTAAAATGTCAGGAAATCGTTTTCTATAAAATTTTAGAATCGCCAAGAGTTAGATACGCTTTTCAGGCAAGAAAGAAACGAAGAAAAGTTTTTTTTTATTTGCAATTTCATAAATTCCAACGCTTTTTTATCTTTTTGTTTCTTAGTCAGAGTTTAAATGTGTTTTGTCAAAATTTTCTATTAAATGAATTATTATTAAAAAAAATTAAATAAACAGTCTAGTTGGAGTTTAATTTTGTTTCAACCTAAATAGGAGTTTTTCTACATTTAAATTAAAAATATGGACAATAAAGTTTATTCCTTAGAATTATGTCTTCCGAGTTGGACATCAAAATGTCTTCTATGGAAAGTGTTCGTCTAATATTTCCTCTTTAGAAGAAAAGGTGTCTTCCGAAATGTCTTTGAATGGTCTAAAAGAGAAGGCAGTAAGTTTGACCTTGCCCTTCGAGGAGATGCTTTAGATGTTCTTCAGACCATAACTGTGGATGAGACAGATGACGTTGAACAACTTAAAAAGAGACGTAACATGCGATATGGCCACAAACACTTGAATCATTTATGCCAATTACAATTATAGACTCGCAAACAGAAACGAGACGAGATCCGTCTAGAATATGAAGTAGATATTACCAGGTTGGTGGGATTTGTCTACCCATCAGCTCTAGAAAACATGATGGGAATGTTTGGCAGTCCAAACGTTTGTTGATGGACTTCGTGATCACGAAATGTAGAAAACACTCCGCTTAGCCCGTCACAAAATATTGGTCGATGTCTTGTCCGCTGCTCTAGAGTATGAGGTAGCTACACAGGCTTCTAAAGTGAAGAGTATAAAAAAAGAAGACGTTATAATGTTACTTATAAAAAGTTGAAGGTGAAGACCATAAGTTGCTATAATTGCGGTGAACTGGGACATGTACGCAGTTCATGCAAACACCCTGGGGTTACAATAAATGAAGACAATACGAAGCAAAAAAACTAGAGTGGGTCGGCCTAGAGGGGACAGTTTCGACCCAGAACCATTCCAAAGACCCTCACATACTGATAGCCTCTTTGAAATGTCGCCATTATAGTGTATACGTAGATGGTGAAGTAAATGGTAAAAAGTATACACTGTTGGTGGATACTGGAGCAAGTAGGACTATTATACGACCAACAACCATAAATAACCGCAATAGACTTCAATTAACAAGATTGTGATTGCAAAGTGTTACAGGTGAAAGTGCCAATATCCATGGGGAAATTCAGGTTCAATTAGGAATTGGTAGAGGAAAGTTCTCTTCTTGTCGGTGATATCGAAGAAAATGTTATATTTGGAATGGTTGTAATGAACTTTCATGGTTTCTAATTGGATTCTAAGAACAGAGAAATCAAAGTTGGTTCCGAAGAGGTATTTCTACATCTATAGGTGGACAGTACCGTGCCAGTAGCTGTACAGGAAGATACAGTGGTACATGGTAGAAGTGAAACCATTATAGAAGCACGACTTCAAGAAACTATGGAAGAAGGAACACCTGTCATGATGGAATCTTGAAACGACGAAGGGGGTTGGTCACGACTATTAAAGAAATTCTTGTATGACTTATAAACGTTTGATCACCAAATTTTTTTTTTTTTTGAAAGTAGAAAATGCATTTACGCCTACCCCTACGTTGTTTAGGGGTAATGTAGGACTCAGAATTCTACTACCCACTAAAAACCACCTTCTAGTGGCCGAGACCTCTCCCGGAACTACCTAAGCGTTATACCGTCGGGGGAGGTCGTCTCCTTTTTCAAGCTCTTGTGCCTCTCTCGTCTATCTCTTTTTGCTTAAGGACTACAAAAATAAAGCGATGTTCAGTTCTCCATTTTTCCTCTTCGCCTAATATGTAATTTACCAATTCGTTTAGTCTTATTTCTTCCATGTTAAAATCTGGGACTGACCTTTCGTTGCTCCATCTGCGATACCGGAAAATAATGTACTCGGGATCGTCTACCTCTTCATTGCAATAGACACACCTCGTATCTGGTACCTTTTGAATCCTGTGCGTATATGATCTAAAACATCCGTGCTCACTAAGAAATTGGGTTAAATAATAATCTATCTGTTTGAAACGGCAGTCCAGCCATGATGTCAGATCGGGTATAAGAGTCCTTGCTCACTGTGCTACTCTTTCCAGTTCTGCCCATCTTCACTTCCACGTTTCAAGTAATGATCACCCAATTACCATCAAGAAAGAGACCAAAATCGGAACTTGTGTACCAATAACTTCCATAATTCGTTAGACAACAACTGCTGATAATTCCAATGACAAATTCGAACAAATGACTGCAGTTGCTGGTCAATTTCTGAATCAATTAGAGAAAAGGAAAATAAATGAATTTCTTCAACGATATCGTGACATTTTTGTAGCAAAAGGAGGAACAGCTCGAACTTTCGTTGAAAAACAAAATTAATATTGGTGATGCCAGGTCAAATCGTCAATCAGCTCGAAGATTACTAAAGACCAAGAGAGATTGTTCGGGAAATGGAGGAAGACAGGGTGATAAAACCTGCCAGCGCATGGGTCTCTCCGTTAGTACTGATCCAGAAAAAGGATGAAATGTCGAGGTTCTGTGTAGACTACCGTCAGTTGAAAAATGTTACTAAGAAAGACAGTTGTTATCCTATGCCTTGAATCGATGATACCTTGGACAAATTGGCCGGAAGTAAACTAGTTTCTACTTTAGCATGTAGAAATGGACCCAGTAGACAAAGAAAAGAAGAATTGATCCACTTATCGTGATTTATGGAAAGCATTACTTAGTCTGAGAGAGCACATACAGTCCAATGTACAGAAATTAGCCATGCCAAAGATAGAGAGCAACCAGCTTAATTGGAGGATAATTAGAAACATGGTGAAAGTCAAAGTAATCTTCCAAGATACCGAAATTCACATACTGGTCTGCAGCCATCCGCCTAGTGTCCAAAGTTCAGCAAAAACCGTTCCTTGTTAGTTTCATGCAAATGGAAATTGTAAAAGAGGGTCCAGTTGTAGATACAACCATTCAGGTGAAGTTCCTGGAGGAAGAAACTGGATTGACCAGATTGAAGAGGTCGGAAAAACTTTGTTAGAGATGAAGACACTAGCCATGAACGGCTGCCAATCCAATACATAAAAAGATAGGATATGAGACAAAAAAAGAAAATATGTGGTATTGATTTCGAGAATTATTTCTTACTATTTAAGATTCAGATTCAGAAACATCATCTTTGTAAATCGATTGTTCAATTATTTTTGCTCTAACAATGATCTTCCTTCGAATTCATCGAATAGGGAATCTAAGATAATTGCCGCGTTTTGGCGACTGCAGTTCACTGTGCCGAATCGGCGCCCTGCGGTCTGGCTCGGCGAAAAATCCACCGCGGCCCTTTCTCCGGTCCTGCACACGCTTTAGGGTTGCTGTAGGTTCGACCCTACGAATTGATGCGAACTACACGCGCAGTAGCAAGACGTGGGAAATCAGGAAAACTCATTCTAAATTTCAGTGCCCGAGCATACTGATCTATTTACAGCTCCTCTACATGTAAACACAAACGCACTCTGCGTTTCTTTTATATATAAAAAGATTGTGATTATTATGTGTTCATATTTATATTTATACAACTTAAAATAGGTGAGTAGACTTTTGTGGATTTGAATGTTTATGTTCGAAGTGCGTGAAGTTACATAGGGACCGCTATTCCTGCAAGTACTAACTTCCTGTCTTACTTCCTCGTCTATTTTAAAATTCTTATTTTGCATTCTATGTTTATACTGCCTACAAGCCTTAAATGTTTTCGAACGCTTTTAGAATAATAATATATTAAAGAATCGATCATTTGCGGTGCATCAGTTTTCTGTCAGCAGGAATAGAAGTGCAGTGTTTAGATTGCGGTACTTAAGGGTGCAGCTTTATCGACTGATTTCGTGCTAAATACTCCGGTTCGGGTTATTTTAAACGTACATAATTAAACAAAGTTTGTTATTAGTTACGTTGGGGGGTTAGCTTGTATCCTGTTTTCAAAACAAAACAAACTTGTTGCCATGTAGGGTATTGCCCTCGCTCAAAATGGCGTTAAAAATAGAATGATAGTTTGGCGGGTTGTTTTTGAACATTTCGAAAATTTGAATTATTTGTGTCGATCATTTTTGTGCTTTGTAAACGTGGATAATTTTTTTGGAAATGTAAGTATTTTTGACAATGTCAATATTGTTCAACCCCTGCTATTTGTTGTTTTTCTTTGTTGTACACCCTTTGTTAGATAATTATTGTGTTACTAGGTCAAGATATTTCTCGTTGAGCTATATAGTTTAAAATTATCGGTTGTTACTCGTGCTAAATGTATTTTTTATTGATTGTTTTGGGAATAGCTTTTTCTTTGCGTTCTACTTTTATTATAGTTTTAAATAGGTTTTAAAATTGGTAGGAGATTAATTATTTGTGGGTAGATATTACTCATCTTTTTGACCATCAAAAAATGTTTTTAAAGTAAGTCTTTAGAACATTTACGTATGTAAGTCAGTTTAGATTTAATTCAAGCCGTGCGTAATTTCTAACTAGCAAAATAAATGATTTAAAAAGTGCCAGCGGTGACGTATCGGTACAAGGTTTGTTGTACCTAGGTTTTTTTGAAAAATTCACAACTTTGGTTTATTTTTTTCCTGAAAGAAATAAAAATTCCAAAAACGACTTAGAGCATTAAAATTACGGAAAAAATTTTATTTCATTTTTTATTAAACTTTGAACATATACGTACTATCAAAGTTGCAGCAGCTGATCCATTTGTTGACTTAAAAGTTGATATAACTTTTAAACTATTGGAAATACGACAATAAACATTCAAGTCATTTTTGTAGGCAATGAAATTATCTCTCAGATAAGTCATTTGTCAATTCCGTACCTAATTTGTTGTTTTTTATATTTGTTTATAAAAATTGATTTTTTTTAATCATCGGCCGACAAGTTTCCGCCATATCAGTGTTTGCTGGGTTCTTATTAATTGTTATACTGACTGTATTATATACCCAAAAAAACATTTTTTTACCAATTATACCGTAGCTTATTTATTTAATACCAGCAGAAATATTTCGTTGTTATTTTACCATTTAAATTGATAAAAGTTGAAATTTATTCAATACATAATTTTTATGAATGAAATAACTTTAATATAAACATAATTATTATGCAATTTTTTATTAAAACTCTCCTCTCCCCTAGATTATGACTTAAACATTAACCTGTAGATCCTTATGAAATAATTTGCATTTTTTATCCAAGAATCACCCCTTGAATACTAATTTTGAACATAGCGGGTTGAATATCTAAGTTTATTTGTATGTTTTTTTTTATTTTTTTTCTCCTTTTAGAGATTTATGTTTGCTAAAAATGTCAAGTTTATATCATTTTTCGTTTTTAATTTAGGATTTTTTTTAATTTTAACCCATCTTAACCCCCTATTTTTAATCAGATTTGTTAAAAATCAATAGGCTTTGTCCCCTTATAGAGCTTGATTTTTGCTTAAAATTTTCAAGTTGATATCATTTCTCGAGAGACAAAGTAAACCTATAATACTCTTCACATAATACTGTATGAAGAGTAGAAAAAAAATGTATGAGGTAAAATAAACAATTTAAAAAGGTCAACAATAACATTCAACTTCTTTTATCAAAAGATACTAAAAGTTTGAAATAGCAGCACATAATTGAACATAGAACACAGAAATCTGTGAACTAAACTAGTGAGATACATATCTTAAAATCACACTTAATTCTCCATATGACCCTTTCTAAGTGTATTTCACAGCACATTCCAAAGTATGCTTGCTCTCACTAATGTCCTATCCTCATGGCTGCTTTTGCATGTCCAAGTTTACTAAAAAATAATGTGTTTTAATAAATAATAGAATAATAGTAATTTTGTTTAAACAGGTAAATCGGCTTCATCTGTATTTTCAAATTATTGTTTAGTTGTAGATAGTATATTAATGTTTTGATATGTATTTATAGCATTGATTAGCCAGAGCATGTAGATATGTGGGATGTGACTTGTTAAGTGCCTAATTAAAATCACAATTTATGTTTGATACTTATTTCGAGACTTTTTTCAATACATTCTTTATTATTAACTGTAAACTAATTTACCAATAGCCTTATTTTTATTTAATACCTGTAGTGATTCAAATTACCATAACATCTAATATTTTTAAAAATACTAAATTATACAAACAAGGCAATAAAACAATGTCATTAAAATAAAAGATTTCTGGTTTGTAAGCAACAAATGATCTTGGTTAGAGGGTAACACGATTGATAATTACAGGCAAACATAACTTTATATAGGTAAACTATTTAAATGTACATATCATTTCTTAGGTAAAATTTCTCATCGAATATATTAAATTAACTGGTTAATCCATTTTTCGGATTCAGACTTTTAAAGTGAAAAACCATTTGTCTCTTTATCTTTATCAAATTTTTATTGTACATTTCCATAATGATGTCAAGTAGTTACCTCACCAGAATAATAAAATTTTTCCTTTTAGCGGGTTTTGTGGGAAAAAAATTTACAAATTTTTTGCTTACTTCTTACTTCATAGTATTTACAATTGGGTACAAAATAGACCATTTTGAATTAGTCTTTGGATGGTCTTTTTGTTTTTTTTTGTTTTTACACCCTTCGGATCTCTCGTGCTACACCCTAATCCGTCTATAGCCTGGCGGCACTGCAGCCTGCGGCTTATTGTACCACCATTTGAAGGTCCTACTACTTTCTCATTCATTCAACAATTCACTCCCTGATTCATCATTATTCATTCCACGTCGTCGGTGGTTAACCGCTAGTCGGATGAGTCCCATAGTGACACGGCCCATGGTGAAACCTCCCAGCGGTCACCCATCCACGACGTGACCGGAGAAATCACTGCTTAACTGTTGCGAGTATGTGGATGCACACTAAGCTCGCAGCTAGCCTCTCCGGCTGGTCTTAGGCACTGAAACAAAATATAAAACAAATTAGAGTCGTACAACTTTATTATATGTAAACAACATAACCTTAAAAAGTTTTTATTTACCTTGCCTTTTTCGGGAACAATCGTTAAATTGACATACATCCTTCCAATTTATTAAAGTTGCAGTTCTCAATTAAACACATTTTTTTAAATGGTCACAAATAATAAAATAATCTTAAATTTATTAAAACCGTTTCATAATGACGAAAAACGAAATGACAGTTTGTTTTATTTGGTACAGTGTTGCCAAAATATGTTTTTGTTATGTACCAGATTTCTTAAATGTATCAGATTTTTCGAATTCTATTTGCAGTGACATCTAATTCATTGAAGGGGAAAAAAAGGGGGTCTTTATTGATAACGAACCCAAACAAGGAACACAATATATATATATATATATATATATATATATATATATTTACATCTTTCTATCAATCTCAAGCCAATTGGAGATTCTATCAAACCTGAACCACCCAAAAATAATAAAGTTGGCTAAGTATATTTAATGTATATTGGAAAAAGAGGGTCTCTTTATCTGTAATGTGAAATGTATACTCTGAATATTTCATTAAAAAAATGTAATTTTTCTAAAGATTTTACTGGATCTGTGCACTCCTGAACCATTAGAAGATTGATACAATCTTGAACCATTTTATACAGTTTTGTTCACACTAATCGCACAATTCTGAACCTTCGCACAGTTGCCAAATGTAAATTAAGTATGAAATCTACGATTTAGTAATACGAGAATAATTATAAAATAAAAATGTTTATTTAACTCTAAAATCTGAATTCAAATTTAAAATCATTTAAGTCGGACTATGTACTCTTGTGGCTAGGGCAGTTCAAATCGAGATATTGAGAGCAAACTAGATATATGGATGTATTTTCTCATAAATAGGAAATCCGATAAAAAAAACTTTTTAAATAAAACACTTAAAATCTACGATTTTTCCTTATTTTGGAATTAAAAAAAAATTAACAGGTAAGATAAAAATTTAGTTTTGACATTTTGTAATAAACCAGATTTATAACGCTTTTGTATAAAAATCTTACCCTCACCATCCTATAGAGGGAGAATGGGGGTGGAATTCCCAAAATATTAGGTTAAAACTTTTTAAATAAAACAGTTTGAATCTAGATTTTCTACATACACATCCAAAATTCCAAAATTTGGTCAAAATGGTGGGGGTAAATTTTTATAAAAAATAGTTGAAAATTATGTCTATTACAAATGTACCAAAAATTATAGTTTTATCTCCTCTGTGACGATTTTTTAATGCAAATCCCCACATTCAAACTATATCAGTTCAGGTCAAAAAAGTCCAAAGACAAGAAATATTTATTTATTATACAAGGGAAAAAAGTTTTAGCTAAAATCTAATATTTTTCCCGTGTATAATACACCATTTCTTTTCTGTGATGGGCAAAACAACGATTTAATATTGAAAAAAAAATCTACCTTTACTTCCCGGGGAAACACTTTTCTCCCAGGAAACATGGAAAAAAGTAATTTCATAAAAAGTGACATTTTGTTACCTGACAAGAGAGATAAAATGTTAAACTTTTCTCGTCACAGAAAAACAAGTTTTTCCCAAAAAACAAAAAAAAATTAAATTTGGGTGGG